GATGATATTTATGTTCAAATACACATCCGATGGTTCGACTGAAGTATCAATATTAGCCAGTTTAGCTTCTAAAGTTCCAATAGGTAAAATATTTTCAAAGTCAAAAAAGTATGGATCGTTCTCGCCGCCAGTAAAACCATGAAATTTTTCAGTATTTGTGTTTAGAACATAAATATCATCTAGATCATATTCAATTTGAACTGATGTATATTTAGATGCCTTTTTTGGCTTTTGGGAATTATTATCATCCATAAGTATGATATGCCTAAAGTGGCTTTCAAAGTTCCTTTGAGCTTCAAGGTCATAATTACTCATAAGAAAATCATACTAATAAATAGATATTTCACAAATAAAATCTTACATTATTCTTTGAGATAAATAAAAATTCAATCTCATAAAATTTAGCCAAGTTAAAAAAAATTTCGTATTTTTCCGAATAAAATGGAACCACGATGCAGCTAAAGTCGAAATAAATTTAGTAACAATACCCTAACATAAGAATAGCAAATTCTGCAATGACCCAATCTGGAGAATTACCAGCGTATATTCCAATCATCGAATTCTTCTTAATACCCAGACTTTGAAGTTTCAAACTAAGCTACTTAGATGTCTTTAAGACTTACGCTAAATCAAGAGAAAATTGATAAGTCTCTTCAAAGCTGATAATTCTGTGTGAATTGACAAAAGACATAAAAGGAGCTTTCCCATGTGTTTTATATGCCTGTTTGAGAAAGTCAGGAACAATTTCGATCTTTTCCAATGGCGTAATATCCATTTTTTCGGATTGTATATGATATGCTGCGGGAATCCCATTAAGGATTGGAAAAGACGACTTAGAGGGATTAGAAGAGTCAAAAGATTCGTGACCTATGTATTTCGAACCTAGTAAGCTAGGTTCCTTAGGAGCGACCGAAATTACAAGGGAAAATGGTAAACAAAGGAGAAATAACAAAGGTAACAAACGCAAATCCATAAATGGATGTGGCAAAATAATCCTATTTATGCTACACTCAGCGATACCACGTTACCCCGCAGATGACTCAATTAATTGATCAAATCAATGTAATGACTAATTTCGGAGCTTCACGACACAATTTTAATGAGATTTAAGTTTAAGACGGGCTTAATTTTTAATACCCTTTACACAGTCCAAATTGGGGTTTCCACCCAAATCCAAATTGCCACCTATGCCTTTAGCTCGAGTTTTCTAGCATGTGTTTTAATGCAGATGCATAGTAGCAAATTCAAAATTTCGGGAAGCCTATTGAGGTTGACACTGTGCCTCTTTCCGTCTGTGTTGTTTGGCTTATAAGCAGTTATGTCCCTGGTTTCAAATAATCAACTGTCAACATTTAAAATGCCACAGTCCCAATGTTTAAAACATTCTGATTGCTTTTGCTGATTTTAAGTGATGCTAAACGACAGAAGCTCGCCGAAATTGTCGCAAAGGACACAACCTTTTTTGATTTTTTTGCTCGCCATCTTTATCACGATCTGCATAGTCCTTGGAGTTTCCTTTTTGGCATCTTTGCTCTTTTCAGATTCTCGCGGTGGAAATTGGGACTTTTCAACTTACCAAGCCGAGCCTTTGGAATCTACACGGCTATTTTTCAACCCTTTTTCCTTATTTAACAGAGAAACTCCGCAAAATGACGGAAGGCTTGATGAAGATCAAAAATTCTTCCTCTTTGACGGCCATGCTCATACGCTAGCTTCAGATGGGCAAATGAGTGTCCCCCAATTGCTTGAATGGGCCACAAAGTGTGGTCGATATGATGCGATTGCCATTACGGATCACAATACATTTGAAGGTGGAATCAGTGGCAGGGAGTTTGTTCGTAACAGAAATCTCTCCGTTGTCGTGTTTGCCGGCATGGAATATTCGTCGTGTGCTGCACATATGAACATCCTCATTCCTCCGTCAATATCCGATGTCGATTTACGAGCATTTGAAAAGCAAGAAAGCATTGCCCCATCTGGTGCATTGACCATTCCCAAACCATCTGTCAATGAACTGATGGCATTTGTTGAGAGAATCCATGCCCAGCTTCCGGGGTCCCTCGTGATTCTGAACCATTTCTCATGGTCTACAAAATATGAGCGGCAAGGTTCGATGGAAAAGACGCTCCCGTACCACCCCACCCTCGATCAGTTTATTTCATCAATCAAGGTCGATGGGTTTGAAGCAATCAATGGCCACACGTTGGAAGCCTCGCTTTTATCCTCGCCGTTGATAAATTCTTCTTTTTTGCTGGTTTCTGGATCAGATGTTCATTATCCCATATCGCCTACATGTTGGACAGCTCTGATTCCAGACCCCATTGATGCCGAAAGCGAGCGAGAAACCATGATGTGGAATGCTCTTTTGCGCTCTAAAGAGCATCCTCTTCTTGCGCTACGTCCAGAGGGAGCCGCTCCAATTCCTTCACAAGTGCTATCTGCAATTTCTTTTTTCAAGATCTTTCTTTATCCCCTTAGCGCGATATCCTCTATTTTTGTGTCGACGTTTATTTCGGTGGACAGTGGAATGTATAGCTTCATCGATGGAGAGCGGTGTCATCAATGTAAGGTCTCTGTAAATTGGATTTCTATTCCAATGTTTATTTTGGTCATTCTTCTGTTTAGTGTCTTGGCATTTGTGCTGAATCGCCTGATCACGAAAAAAATTCGCACTTCGAATGCGAAGGTTGAAAAACGTCAGGACATAAATTTTGCATAATAAATGATGATACCAAAAATCAATACCAAGATGTTAATGATAAGCGTCGCCTGCAAACTCAAAATGAAGGTCCTAATTCCGGAATACGAATATTCGGGATGAAAGGAGACAAGGTAGTACTCTAGGGACGACAATAGCGAACTTGGTTGGGCCATCAAAACTCTGGAGCCATGGTTTCGTGCCATCTCACAAATTGCCTTTGAGTCGGAAACCCTCTTTGTTGAATATTCCTGGAAATGCTCGTTTGTCCAGCATGGCAGTAAAGATAACAGCCGCACATCTTCAAGGCCAGCGTTGAGACCCTGTCCATAAAACGGAAGCATCGTGTGGGCAGCATCACCGACAAGTATGACATTCTGTTCAACTGAGTACACCTGTTTTGCAAGCACGGTTTCTAATAACTGAGAATCAGACTGTTTTTGCAACTCGTGGGGAATGCTGGATGGGTCTGCATTTTCGTGGAAAAGAGTAAGGCTGATCCCCTGCAATCCATGTTGAGCCTCTTTTTCTCGCTCCAGTTGTGCCTCGTCATGCACAAAGGCCATCAGCAGATATTTTTCCTTTGCGTTTGGCCAGAAATGCAAGTATCGACTCGACAAAATCGGGCCCTTCTCCATGATATGGATTTCCCGATATCGCATTCCGGTGCAAACCCGATGGACTGGAATCCCCAGCGCCGTTCTTACCGAGGAGTGATGTCCATCGCATGCAATCAGCAGGGAATACCGAATTTGAAGGCTGGAGCTTGTAAGAATGGCGCAGTGTCCAGAAAACCGAAAAAACGAGCAATTGAACTGAATTTCAGTCCACAACTTGGGCTGCGAGCAGCGCAGCACATCAAAAAATATCTTTTGAAGGTCACTTCTTCTCACAAAGAACAAACACTAGGCCATAAAGCAGGTATAAAAGTACTTTGCTTTTAGCCCCCCCATCGTACACCTCAACCTTATTGGGGCGCGCTTGCTGATGAAGAATTCTGCCGTACACCGGTTGTGAGATTGATAGGACCTTCTCCTCCAACCCAGGCACTAACCTAAGCGACACCCTTGCCCTCTGAGAAACGGCAAGCAGCAAGGTTCGGTTAACTAGAGGTTAAAAAAGACCATACTAGATAGGGTCTCGGAAAAGGAACGCCTCTCAATACAACGGACTTGATATCCCTGCTGTGAGAGCAGAATGGCGGTAAATGTGCCAACAAGGCCAAGACCAACGATCAGAACGGCACCACCGGTGTCACGGTCAGTCATTTTGAAAATTTGGCACGCCTGTGGCAAAAATTCGCTTTGATCGCTGGGAGAGCGGATCAATCAAACCTTATTCCATCAAAAAGCTGCTGTATTCCAAATGTTGTTGACCACAACAATTTGGGGCCCAAATAAAGCGTCAATTTATTAATTTATTTGAAAAATCCTCGCCGTCAAAAATATACAATCCAGGCGTGGAGATGCCATTTTTCGAGATCACACGTAGAATATCTTGCGTTCCAGCACCGCCAATAACCGAGGCCACCGCTGCACTCAATGCATCGTTTGAGAATTTCAAGAGCTTTTCCCTTCTAATTGCATCCAGCGTAGGGGATGGCGTTACTTTATCAATTGGATTATATGGCATACTCTCCTGGTCACTACCGTATCTAGTGGATAAATTTAAGTTTGAAGATACTTGAATTGATCGCCAGCATCTGAAAATATGAATCCGATGGATCCCGAAACGCTTAAATGGAAAAAGGCACAATTCGATTTTGATCGGGAAAATCGGTTCCATTTGCACGCCTATTTGTAAATGTAAACTGGAAAGTACTTGAGAAAAATCAAAAGTCGGTATTTTTGCCGCATTGGAGGTAATCTTATTGCAGTGGATTATGCAATCTACGGCACCAACGGCCTCTTCGTGCTCTGAGATGGCAGAAATCGAAACTGAAGGATTTAATGGCTGAATTTGCCGGATCAAATAATCGTATTTATCAATAAAATCATTTTCTGGCATCGAGTGCAAGAAAAACGAGGAAACTTTATGCGAATCTGATGGCATGTCATCCTCCCTCAAAATGTACAAGTGGGAGATCCCTGTAAGAATGAGATTCTTAGCCACCTCGTTTCCTGTTGGCGAAAGTGCGCCAATCAAAAGAACCCTAGTGAAAGATATTTTTCTCTGCGCTTCGATACCCCAAATTCTTATTTGCCGGTCATATTTAAGAAACTGGGAATCCTCATTGAAGGAAGGATTTTCATTGGCCATTGAGTGATGTTTTATTTAAATTTTTAATCAATTTTTTTATAAAATAGCAATGGCAGAGGCTGAATTAAAACGAGTGGGGTGGCTCAAGGAATTTTTATTGAAGGAAAACTCCATTCCGCGAGAACATGCATCTACAGTATGTGAATATATTGTGCAGAACGTCACCTCAAAGTCAGACCCGTTCATCGAACAGGACATGAACCACCACAATCCCTACAAGATGAAAAACAAGGGGCTTTGTTCAATACTTTAAGGAATTTTGATTCTTCAATTCGACGAGCCATTTTGTAAATAAAATTTAGCATTTTTTGTCTTTTAAACTTCATGCAGAACAAGTTCGTACTTGTCAAAAGAAGGCATTTTGAGCATGAATGCTCCATTTGCACAGAAAAGATAGCAATGCACGGCCAGATTGCACCGATTTGGACATGCTATCGAGGATGCAAATCGATTTTCCATTTAGAATGTTTAAGGGCATGGGGGATTGCCACGATTGGCCATTCATTCCAATTTTCTTGCCCTAATTGTCGATGCACCTCCTACGACTTTACTGCAGATGTAAACGGGTCTCCCAGGTGCTATTGTGGCAAAAAGGAAATATCCGTTGTGAAAAAAAAACTCTCGTCTTCGTCTCTTTCGTGTGGTGCACCCTGCAATGCAATGCGAGTCGGTTGCCACCACCCATGTCCCCTGCAATGTCATTCAGGACCATGCCCCCCGTGCTCATTTATGGGATCTCCCGAGCCATGTGCAACAGGACCTCCACACCACCTTGCTCAACGACAACGAAGATGTGGATCTGCGCCAGAGGAATGGTACTGCAATGATGCATGCCCGCGCATTTATTCAAATTGCTTTACAAATGCACACAGATGCCCATCTACAAAGTGTCATTCAAAATGTGAAGCTTGCCCCGAGCTTATTTCCATCTCATGCGAGTGTTCCTCGCTAACAACGTCCCCAAATATTCGGTGTAATCGGGCTTTCGATATTCTCACGTCGTCTGCTGGGCGATTGTCATGTCAACAGCGATGTAAAAAGTATCTTCTAGAAGAAAAATCTCAATGTATTCTTATTTGCCACCCCCCTTCCGTTAGCTGTGCATCAAAAATTGCCGATGCTTGCTGCTTCTATGGTCCTATACACCCACACTCAATTTCTTGTAAATGTGGAAAGGAATCTCTTGTGATCAATGTTGGCTGTGCCACGGTTGAAAAAACCGAGCTTGGATATGTCCGTCGACCTACTGATACCAGTAATATCACATGCGATAATTCCTGCGGAAAGAGCTTTGCCTCCTGCTCTAAACATCTTTGCGACAAAAAGTGCTGCATTAATGATGAGGATCATGTCCGCTGTACTCAGATTTGCAATAAGCGACTAGCCTGCGGCAAGTCTTCGCATAGGTGTTTAGAAAGATGCCATCCTGAGAGGCCGAATTGCCGTCCCTGTCCACGTCCTTCATTTCCTGATGGCTGGAATTGTCCTTGTGGTAAAACAAAGGTAGAGGGCCCCTTGGGGTGCTCTTGGGTACCGCCCTCCTGCAAATTTCTTTGCAATCGAGCCCGGGAATCCTGTGATCACTCATCGATACCCCATCCTTGTTATTCCGGAGACTGCCCCCCTTGCACGATGCCGGTATTTCCGAAATGTGGATGTGGTCGAGTCGTTACATATTCTGTTCCCTGTATGTTTTCAGGGGCAATGGCCAGATGTGGTCTTCGCTGTAATAAGCAATATCCTGATTGTCCCCACACATGTGCATCTCGTTGCCATTGGGATGTGGAGAATTGTCCTCCATGTCCCCAAAAATGCCAACGAAAATTGAATCAATGTGGCCACCCTTGCGCACTTGTATGCGGAATACACCCAGGTAGTTGTGTCTGTAATGCCACCGTTTCAATTTTATGCCCATGTGGCCGACACAAGGAGGAATTCGCATGCTCAGAATCAACTCCAATTTCATGCACAGATGCCTGCTTAAATGCCCAGAGGTTTTCTGCCTTTGCTGAGGCCCTAAATATCTGCAACCCGCAAAATATCGGGAGAGATGATGAGTTCTCAATACATGCAGCTCTTATTGCATGGCCTATGCTTATGGATGTGTTTACTTGGGCTCGTTCGCGTCTTGAATATCTTTTGATGATTGAAGGAATCTTTTCAGAGCATATTTCATCAACTTCTCGCAAAAGGTGGGTTGATCTGCCACCTGCTGGCCCAATCAAGCGTGAAATGACCATTCGCATCGCCAATAATTACCATTTGCAAACCATTGAGTTAGACTGTTCTATACGAGGATCTGTTAGGTTTGGATTTCCAGATGATTATCCTACTACTGTTCCCAAAGTGCCAAGCATCCTATTGTCTAAAATAGTTACTTCAGTTTCTTTTTACGACGTTAAGGTATTTTTGTCTACACAGAAGTACGATGGTGGTGGCAAAGACGATGGGGAAGAAAACAATGCATCTCAACATCCTTGTGGGGAAATTCTTGCTTCAGTAAACAATGATCTATTGGAGCTTTCCTTTACAGATAATGGCATATCCAATCCTTCAATACAGGAAGAAAGTGATTCTTTTTGCGATAAGAGTCTCTCAGATGAGGATGAGGAGACCAGCTGGGTTGTCATTTCTACCCACAATCGTCCAAGTAACCATTGAAAATACAGCGACACAGCCCTGGCTAGTCTCAAGAACGTCCATCGACTCTTTTCATCTTCTGTTTATTCTGCCCGTTTATCTGATTAGGGGAGGGGCTCAGTAGCGCTGGTCTAATGAGAACCAAAGTCTAGTTGTAACTTTATTCAATTGTCATCATGATTTGAAATGCTAGGGGAGGCATGCGGATGCTGATAAAATTCACCCTCCGAATCTACAAGCCCGGCTCCGGTAGAGCCGAACCAGTCAAGCAAAAATGAGAACGGTCTTCCGCCACCTGACATGATAAATGTTGAAAAGTTTGGAAGCGATGCAAGAGACGATATTAAATGTATCATGTGTGGGCGTGGGGTTTCTTTTGCCAAAATGGGTCTATGCTCCAGAAGCTTACCACCTTTATCAACCAGCAGAAGCTCGAGTTGATTTTTCGGGATCTTTTGGGGGGACATTTGTTTTTTGATAGAGTCGACGAACGCTATTTGCATATCCTTTTGGGTTCCCATGGCTCTAAAGGATGGAGCAATGGTGATTGATGAAGCAGATGATGCTCCCGAGGCTTCTATTTGGGTGCATCTAGATAGTTCTGAGATAAACCCCATTCCCCAATAGGCCGATGTGTATTTCGTCACCCAGCGGAACAAGGATTGATGTGCAGTTTCTCTCGCTTCTAATGGCATTTCAAGTGCCGTGACAATTGTCTTTGCCAGTCCTATGGTATCCCATGGATTGATTATTAGCGCGCCATTGAAGGATTGAGCCGCACCTAAAGAATAACCCAAAAGTGGCATTTCTACCGGCAAACTCGGAAAGTATCAACACCCCGGGATTGGAATGGGGCTGAGCCGCAACAAATTCATACGAAACCAAATTCATTCCATCTCGTATCGAGGTGACGAGACACACATCGGCAATTGCATAAAGTGCAGCTAGCTCTTGAAAAGGAACGCTATTGTTGATAAATTGTAGCGGCATGTAGTCAATTGAGCCATATTTTCCATTGATATGTCCGACCAATGCATTTGTATATGCAATTAGATTTCGATACTCTTCCACATCCTCTCTGGTTGGGACAGCCACCTGCACCAAGGTTACCTTGAAGTTGGTAAGCAGGCCATATCATCTACCTTTCCACGGAATTGCGGATAATTACGCAAAAAGATTTCAAATCCAAGAAGCTTGTGAGGAATGCCTTTGATGTAGTCAAGTCTATCTACTCCTAAGATTATTTTCTGGTCTCCGTATTTTAATTTCAGCTTCTTCATGATCGATTTTATGGGAGGAAGGTCAAGTGCGTCGATAAATGGATCCGGATCTATCCCAATCGGATATATTCCAACTCGCGCAATGTGGCCATCGCTGACCCTGACCATTGTTGGCGATGTTGCAAGCGACAATAGTCGATTGCAACTTGATAGGAAGTGTCTTCCATATTCATACGTGTGAAAGCCAATCAAATCGGCTGCTATGATTCCCTTCAAAATGCAAGCACCAACAGGCAAGACTCTGTAAATTTACAAAATCAAGAGCTACCTGAACACCTCAGAAGAGGGAAAGGGAATGTGATGGAAAAACCCAATTTTTACATTTTTGAAGCCGGAAAGGTCCAACTTCATTCGAAGAAGACGAGGAAGAGTCATCAGCTGATAATCATGGATCCAAACCAAGTCATTATCCCTGCATTCTTTAAGAATTACATCAGCAAAGAGAGAATTTGCCTTCACATATGCCTCCCATGCAGATTCATCAAAGCTCATGTCCACAGGAAGATAATGGAACAACGGCCACAAAATGCTGTTTTGATATCATGAACTGCACATCTTACCTGTTTGCAAATGTGTTGTAGAATGGATTTGAAATTTCGTCGGGGAGAAATACAGGAATTGCCGAGTATTCGGAAAGCAGAGTTTCGCCAATTTGATCACGGTCTTCTTCTGGGATTTCAAAGCCTAAAAAAATCAAGTCTATGTGCGACAAACCTGGCCATCCGATCCAGATGAAGGATGTCATTTTTTTCATGCCAGCAAGACCGGCAACCAGCCCTCCCGAAGACCGCTTGTACGTCCACGCGCCGTTTTCTCTACTTAATGTCACAGGAAGCCTGTTTGAGACAACAAGCAATCGGTCCATTAGCTATGTAACTAATTTAGATTCACAGAGCCATATAAACGACAATGAATTTGGCTCATCCAATAAAATTCATAGCCCACTGATCACTTGAAAGGAGAATTGTAATTTTATTTTTAAAATTAATGAACAAGCACCCTAAGCTCCACTCGCCTACGTACGTTTCTGATGAAGAATTGAGCACGCAAAGTGAACGCAGCTCTTTTGCATCGGACGAAAGCCCTTTTAAATTTGATGACCATGCAACTCTCAACAGAAGTCTTTTACACTTGACATCATCACATACTTCGCAGTCTGAGGCCACCATCGGTCAAAAGCTGAGAAGAGCAGAGCAAGCGTTGATTGATGCCCAATGCATGATTATGGAGCAACTATCCAGGCTTCAAGCCGAAGAAATAACGCTGCAAAAATTGATCTTAGCAGCGACCCCCAAAGGGCATTCTTCTGCAGATTCCGGTGAGAAATGACCCTATGTGTGGGCATGGAAAAAGACCCTATGTGTGGGCATGGAAAAAGACCCTATGTGTGGGCATGGAAAAATGCCCCTGTCCATAACGAGACATGGTTGAAGCCTTCCCGACCAACTTGAGCAGCGAAATGCATAACGATGCTATTGGATCTTCCCCTGGTGCGTCAATGTTTAAATTGCACATAAAATAATTTTTAATTTTCAGTTTTGAAGCTAACGGCGAAATCAAGTTATGACCCTGTATGACGAGTTTTTCGGCGTGCTCTCCGCCATCTCGCCGACGTTTGAACATTCCACAGAGGACATATTATTTATCGAACTTCCTTCGAAATTCCATTCCACAATTCTCGATCTTATTCGATCATCAAAGGACAAGCTTTACATTTCGTCGCTTTATATTGGGTGTAGCGCCACTAAGGGCGATGACTTGTCCAAACAAATAATCTCGGCATTGAGGGAAAAGCTTGCTACCACTGAAAACGAAAATTTTACTTTAAAGATCCTAGTTGATGACACGCGTTCTGCACGAGCATTGGATAACTCTACGGTCGTCTTGGAGGCATTGAAGGACGACTTTCCGCATCTTCAAGTAGAGGTGCACCCGATTGTTGTGTCTGAATCTTTCTTTTCGAGATCGATGGGCAGGTTCTTTAGAAAATCGGAGGCTATCTCCAGACTCCAGCATATGAAATACATTGTGTCCGATGACAACGTTTTGCTAACCGGAGCTAACCTTTCGGAAGAATATTTCACCACCCGAAAAGATAGGTATGTTTTGATAAAAAACGCCAAGCCCCTTGCATCCTTTTATTCACAACTTACCACCCTGGTGATAGAAGCCACATGCCAAATGCCCCCGCCACGGAAGGAAATCAGAGATAAGTTTTTGGACCTGCTCCAGTTAAAGTCTTCCGAAAATAAGCCTGCTTTTGAAACGCGTGGCGACAAAGTCTATTTATTCCCGTCTCTTCAAATGTCTTGGCTAGGAATACGACATGAAGAGGCTCTTATAACAACCTTGCTCGGAATGGCTCGGAATCTGGGCCTTCAAATCCACATGTCAACAGCCTACTTCAATCTGGCTCCTGTGATCCAACGATACTTTTCGGGGGAGTATTTTTCTTCGCCAGACCCCATGAAGGCTACAAAGACACAGGCCCCCTTGTCACCCACAAATGCAGATGCCAAAGCAAGACCCATACCCCATTTGTCTTCCATAATCACTGCTGCTCCATCTTGCTCGGGCTTCTTTAATGCGCAATGGCCAAAAAGCTTGATCCCAGATATTTATGAAAATCTCTATGAACAGTTTGCCTCCAATTTAAAAGAGAAGGACATTTCAAATTTTGAGCTTCTCCAGTACCAAAGGCCGGGATGGACATACCATGCAAAGGGCATATTCCTCGCACATAATGGCTCTGTGTTCCTCACCCAAATTGGCTCTTCCAATTATGGTATCTTGCTTCGAGTTAACCCTATTAGGAGAAAGGTCTTTCGATAGAGATATCGAATGCCAGCTGACCATGCTCACCTCGAACCCTGAGCTTCAAAAGAAGTTTGAAACCGTAGGCATTGATAACCTTACCCGTAGGATCTTGCCGATTTGCACAAATACGCCGTTTCGTTTTCGACCGCATCAACCCCTTCTTCTCCTTCGGTTTCAGCATACATTAGATCGTACTTCCTAATGGGACTTTCAAAATTTTGCTCAAAAATGCTGTAATAAATATGCCAATCAATGACGACTAAAAAATGACATCGGTTCCGCATTTGATTGCAGGACCCTCCATTTTGGAGGACCTAGTTCCGAATTGCACTGCTCTTTTGGGCAGGTCGACACAATGGGAAAGGCCGAGCGCTTTTGCAATCCTCCGCAACATTGCCTTTTCGCCAAGCCCGCGAGGAAGAGAAAGGTCCATTCTAACTGAAATTGGACATTGTCCAAGCACAAAGTGGACCAATTTTTCATCCAAAAATGGGTATCGAGCCTCTCTGCCGCCATCAGAAAGAACCCTGTCATCCCTGCCAAGATTTCGATGCCACATTCTATTCAAATCGAGAGAGATCTCTGAAGAGAGCCCTTCCAAGCCATGCCGGTCAAATTTTGATCTATATCGCGCATATCCCCCAAACAGCTCATCGGCTCCAAAGCCCACAAGCAGGATCCTTGATCTCTACATACAACAATAAAACGCGATGAAAGCCTACCGATGGCCACGTAGAGGCAACCCAAAAGGGCGCTGCTATCGACAAGTCCATTGCCGTATTTGCGGGAGCAATTAGGGATCGAATCCTGGATCGATTTTTTTGGTACTCCTCTATGGTAACGTTTAGTGGAGAGAAAATCCATTTTCTCGAGCAGGACAACCTTTCAAGTTCGGAGAATGACTCGATTGCAGAAATCCTATCTGGAATTTCCTTTTCCGAAAGCAAGCCATTTCCATTTGATGGGATGAAAGAGACATTAATCAGCTCGATCAATACGTCCGGGTCAAGTACCTTATCCGACAAGCGAGCCAAGAGGGTCGAATCCAGACCACCAGAAAAAAGAATAGCAACAGTAGACCCCTGCCCTTTTCGATTATTTGATACCCGGCTTCTTATTGAATTTTCCAAAAGCTCTAAACATTTTTTGTCGTAATACTCGAGCGCAAAGGTTTGAATACTCGGGGACACGGGAAAGGGACAGCTTCTGTGATACTGGCAAACATTCCGTGTATTCAAGTCTATCTCATAAATGAAGTTTGCATCGACTTCTTCCGGTTGACTTATTTGGTCAGATATTATGGAGGAGCATAACAAAATGGAATCTTCCCTATTACAGCGCAATAGGCTTCTCCGTCCAAAAATATCCTTGCAATAGTAGAGCTTGTGGGCAGATTTTTTGTAATATATAAACGAATATGGGCCTTCAATCCTACAAAACAGCTTCTCGTGGAGTTCAGATAAAAAATCGGTTGCATCAGAGAGTGAATCCAGAAATTGCGAAATCACTTCTGTGTCGCTTTTTCCGTCTGGAATCTCAATATCGCCATTGAAAATTTCGCCATTCCATAGGAGGATACCCTCTTTTCCAGATGCCGGCTGGCAGGTCAGAAAATCTCCCTGCATGTGAAGAACGGCCACACCCATTGTAAGGTGCAAGTCATCTTGCTGACAGACATCAAGTTCACCATAATAATCATTTCCTAAGTTGTATGTAGCCTTTAAAATATACCTCTAGACTTGATTGTCTCCCTTGCATCGCAGATGATAGCCTCGTTTACTGCATGGCTTTTCCATGAAATGTAGCAAAAAATGCCGCACATTTCTAAAATTAAAATTTAATGAAATTTGCACTCTATTTCACTTTCAATGTCTGATGATAATGTGCCCCGTGTGTCATCATTGTCCACTTTACTCCCCATTCTAAGTATGCCTTGATGTGTTTTTATATTTGCATAGTTAAGTCTTTTGACTCTGATATATTCAACTCTTCTTATAAAGGGACCAACCTATTGTCTCCCGATCTGACGAACATTAAGATTTCGCAATTGAATGTGAAGCAAAAATTCTGGTTCTCCATGCTTATTAGAGAGGAGCCCCATTCTTGCTCTCTGAGAACCTGTTTAAAGGTTCTCGTTGCGATACGGMAATTTCAGTTGTTAATTGAAATTTTGCTTTTAAAGTTCCCGCTATCAAACAGCAATAGATATTCCATTATATCGCTATTGGAGTCGATCAAGTAATCCAATTACATTTCTCATGTAAGGTTATGCATTCGCCTTTATATCTTTAAGATTACTGAAAGCAGAGGAAAGGCGACTCTTCTTTCTCATTCTGATTTTTTTGTTCCAGAAACTGCAAATAAGCCGGCCAAAATTTCATTTGAAGAGTCGATTGTCTCTTCTACCCCATCAATTTCAGATTTGATAGCCCAAAATTTGTACACTAAAGAGCCGCTTTCTGTTGCTGAAATCCTATACCTTTTCCGTCCATTGGTGACCATTATCCTTTTGTGGCGATTTGGTAAAAAGTCGTGGGTCCCATGGACTATCCCCTTCGCAATGGAAACCATATCGTACTATTTGAAGGATGCGCGAGAAAAAGAAGATAGGATTGCACATCAGTTAGGACACGGCATCTTGGACTTGATTGAAAGAAACCGCAGATTTATTTTCCTTTATCTATATTTAATCAGAGAGCCTCTTTTCACCTCCTATATCAGGTAGGAAGAGTCAGATTTATTTACTCCATAGACCGGTTCTCCAACTCCCGATTGCAATGTTGGAAAAAATCCCATATGTGGGCGCTCTATTATCGTCCCCTGTAAGTCAAGCCCTAGATCTTC